AGGAAGCAGAGTAGCTTTCTACTCTTCTGAATTTTTAACCCACCTGTCCTGAAGTATCTCTGCCTTGCAGCCAACAGTCATTGTAACAGAGCATCCAGTGGATCTCCCATTAATGCACATGTAGACATATATAATTATTTTTTATATTTGTATTTAACTTAGTAGCAACACATGACCCTGCCCTATAACATTGTACCTACTTTACTTATGTAAGGTAGCACCATACTTAATACTGGTTTTGACTTATGAAGTGTGAACTGTAAGCTGCACAACCTGTAATGAAAACATTACATTTTTTTTAAATCAAATGAGCATTGCTTGTTTGCAAAGCAGAGCCAAACTTCTGGAAACAAATTCACTGCCACAAGGTATCATCAGAATTTTGAAATTTCAACAGTTCACCTTCCTCAATTGGTACCATTGTGACCATGGAAGGTCAGGTGTTTGGGCCTAGTGCTGAACCAGAGCTTGATAGAGCTGTCCATAGTGCTTCATGTTGGACTTGGAGTATATGGTGTCACCTACCTCTTTAGGCACTAATTAGTCAGCATGTGCTTACATTCAACAACATGCAACTTACTTCCTCAGTTTGTTCTCCCCACTGTGGTGACACTGAGGATCTGAGGATGTAAGTCCTTGTTTCTTTTGCTTAGTATTGTTAAACTCATACATACTTTATAGTTCTTGTATTTGTTGCCATTAGGTACAAATAGAGTTTGTTCTCCTCACTGTGGTGACACTGATGATTCCTTGTATTTGTTGCCACTAGTGGCTTTGGTCCTGGTCCAGCAGGTTATGGGCATTCTTTTGGATTGCCAGCACTGTACTGAGCCATGGAATGACTCAATCTTGCTCTCTGTATCTGTTTAGGATCTTTGGGTTTATTTGCTTCCATGTATCTGGATCTCTCTGCCAAGTGACTGTACTACTTGATTCCTCTTGATCATTACCAGTCTTTACAGTAACATCTGACAATGGCTGATCTGTTCAACAAAGTCAGGGAAGAAGGACTGAAATGATCCTTCAGACTTGATGGAGGAGAGAATTTGGGGCAGACCAATCCCAAAGCCAACAATTAAGTAGGCATATGATCTCTGTATACCACTAGAATGGAATCAGGTCATTGCTGACCTGACCTGGCAAGAAGAGCTAAGATGTGCAACCCCTGCTGCTGAGATATATTCAATGGCTATGGAGGATGAGATATCTGAGCCTAGCACATTTAACTACTCATGAGGTGAGTAGGACTAAGTGTCTTCCTACACAATTAAATAGACCAGACAAATCCAAAATTTGCCTGATGGCCTTGTGAGATAAGTATGCAAGAAGAGTATTATCATCAAAGCAAGCCAAGGACAATTGTGGTCCTTGAACTAAGGCAGAGAAGTAGAAGGCTCAGCCTTCCAAGCTGATGCAAGACAACATTCTGCATCTTCAACAGCAGTGGTATGATCAGTTTCAGGACATTGTCAATGGTATGAAGGAGGAACTTCTTCAATGGCATGAGGTTGACCATGAGATAAATCTCATAGATGACACTAGGTGTTACTTGTACTTCATGCCAAGCTAAATCACTGCAGCAGCAATTGTGGGATCAAATTGACTGATTATTGTGTGCAAAGTGGTGGGAATCCTGTGCAGACAACCATGCCACACCATTGTTCATTCAGAAGGATGTGGCATATGCACCCATAAGATCAAAAATTGACCTTATAGACACATATGAGCAGATAAGGATACATACCACAGATGTACCAAAAATGGTGTTCATAACCATTACTAGTACATTCTGCAGTAATATCATGCAGAATGGCAATTGTAATGCACCAGCTACATTCCAGTGTCTGGTGACATACATATTTTGGGACATCATTAGAAAGTGGATGCAAGTATATCTAGATGATATTTTCATCTTTTCAGATTTGATTGAGGAGCACAACAAGCACCTCAGAGTAGTCTTTAAAAGACTACACAAAAATAAGCTCTACCTCAAATGGAAGAAGTGGGAGCTACATGCATGCAGAGTGCCTCAGCCATGTCATTGACTTGCAGGGTATTCAGCTTGATATGGACAAGTTAAATCAAATCCAGGAGTGGTGTACTCCTAGAACCTACAAACATATCCAATAATTTGTTGGCCTGGTGAACTACATTGGGAACTTCCTGCCCAATATTTCTGTGTACATAGGGCCACTAATGGCCATGATGCAGAATGGGTTGCCTTTTCACTGGTGTCCAATCCATCAATGGTACTTCAACATGATCAAATGGATCTGCCAAAACACCTATAATTCAAGCAATCAATTCTTGACATATATGGCTCATATGTGATGCCTCAAAGACAGGCATTGGGACAATGTATGGACAGGGACCAAGCTGGCAGAAATGTTAACCAGCCAGGTTCATGTCCAAGAAGTTCACAAATGCACAGCAAAGCTATGCTGTGCATGAGCTTGAGACACTTGCCATCCTTGAAGCACTCCTTAAATGGAAGGATAACTTTTGAGGATATAAGATTTATGTAATCATGAATCACAAAGCTTTTGAGTCTTTGAAAACTCAACAGGTTCTATCTTGTCATCAACAACAATGGATGAATTATATGTCAATGGAGAACTCAATAAGTTAGTGGACTGTTTATCCCACTGCCTTGAAAGTGACTCTTCCCAAGACATCCACCACATCTATGACTACATACATGCAGGTCTGCAGGTCAAACCAGAGGGGGATGACTTGCCCCCTATGCATTTGCAGGAAATGCAGGATTAGCTGGATCAGATTTCTGTGCTCTGCAACACACTTATCTGCAGAAGCTAGTAGTTGCAGGATTGTCATGAACTTCAGAATGAGGAAGTGCAAATCCTTGCCAATACAAATCATAGCATAGTTGGGTCAACCCAAGCACTCATCAAGCCCTGAAGGTCATGATGATATGACATTGGAGGAGGCCATCCTTGGCATTGCCAACCAACTTCAACCACCTTCAAAATCAAGCCTGTTGCTAGCCAGGTCTTAGAAGACTTTTTCATCAATCACAAAATTGTTGGCAACTCCCTAGCAAATATGAATAAGGAAAATTTACAAAAAGCCTCCTAAGAGACATTCCCAAGCATTGTCCCTGGCCATCTCTTGCAGTCCTCAATAGTCCCCAGAGCTGGTCCCCTGACAGATAGAGGCCTATTCCATTGTCACTGATCCAGATAAGATTCTGTGAATCTTCTCTTTGTCTCTGTAATAGCATGTTTAATGGACCATCCTATCTTACCCAGACATCCTTATCTCTTGCACATCCTTGAGGATTGTTTGCCAATGTGGGTAGTGGATGATTCATATCTGCAACCTCTACTATCAAGAATAACAATTCAATCCTTTTTTGAAGGTTATGTAAAAGCTTTATGGTATTGGAGCATGCAGATACAGAGACTGGAAGGGAGGGTCAAGTGGGGAGGGCAGTACTGATTGTTTGGAGGTTGACTGCATAAGTGGTGGTGCTAACACTGTCAACTTAACATGAGGAGCTTCTAGTGCAAAGATACTTGCAGCCCATTTAAACTTCTCAATAACCTGAGCAGCATTCCATTCCTTCAAGTCTTTGGCACCTTGCATTGCAGTCAGGACACAGTACATGGTTGTTGGTGTCAACAACTTTAGTCAATTCATTGATTACCAACTATTTGAAGATTAGTAGGACTGATGTACTAATATAAACATAAAATGAAATAATTTACTGTCATCTTAACCTTTCAGTGGCCCAGGCAGTGTACAGTGTGAAATCAATCCTGAGATTGACTTTGTTTAGCAGGCTTTTGTCAAATAATTTCCTTTTTTAGCTACCTACTCATATGCTGGTCTCAACAATGAGATTTGCAGGAGAAAAAAAGCCTAGTATATTGTTTAACAATATACTTGACAAATAAAAACAGCTGAAAACTGCAAGCTGGTAAAAATGTTGAAAACTGTAGACATAGGACATACCTCAGAAAAAGTAAAATGTCCCATGTGAAACCAATGGAAAATGAGTCCAAAGTCAGTCAACAATAGCCAGGAAGCCAGCCATCAAAATTTGATGGTGGGGGCCAAGATTAGGTTTACAAGCTTCTCTCCCCTCAATCCAGGACTAGCCCCCCTCCCTTTCTCTGAACAACCAACTTCAACCAAACAGCCCTGAAGCTCACAATGATGAGTACCTGCAGGAAGGAGGAGAGGACAAGGAGAGAGGAAAAGGGCAGACCAGAGATCAGCTTAGGCCTCAGCATGATCAAACCCAAATAGGCAATGCCAGAAATAGGTGCATGCCAAAGCCCAACCATGCAGCCCAGCCCACCAACCAGTTGACCACACTCCTGGATAACAACAAAAACATGTGGAAATAGTCATGGTCCATGTGCAGACTAAAGGGTATAAAAGAAGGGGATTTTTAAGCCTCTCAGACAAGCAACTACATGCCACAACTTGGAATTCCCCAGGGAGCAGAGTTCTTAGGCCTATGAGCATCCAGTAGCTTCAGGTTTATAATTTATTATATTTTAAATTGAACCTTGTTCAAAAGTTTGGCCCAGTCAATCTTTTAAACTAAATCATAAAATTTATACCTTTACTATGTTTGATTTGTGAGGCTAAGTGTGACTAAGTCCTGAACACCTTTGTGAATCAGAGAAAATTGGCTGATTTTGCATCACTACACACCTCCAAACAAAAGTTAACCAGTATGACATGTATGACAGTGGTCACTGCTGGCACTGGAACATGTTTCCATTACAAAAATGGAAAAAGAAACCAGTTATGCCATTTCTTTGACATATTTTTCCTTTGGAAAAAGGCTTCTCCCATTGATTAGAGCCTTTTTCTATTGGAAATATGCTGTTTGGAAATGGTATAACAGGTTTCTTTCTCAGTATTTTCTCAGAAAAATCTATTGGCTGCCAGCAGTGGGTATGACAGATTGCACGTGACTCCCCGATAAAAGACAATGATATTACTAAACATATAACAGCTATAATGGTGAGATGGCCAAGCGGTCTAAGGTGCCAGACTAAGGTGGTTATCTGGTCTCTTTGGGGGCGGGAGTTCGAATCTCCCTCTCATCAATGGCGAGTATAATCAATGTATTTTGTTGTCTTTTTTTTATCTTCAAGTTCTTATCTCTTTTGCCTTCCCAAACCACATCAATGAGCTGCCCTTTGCAGCCCATGCACTCTCAAAGCCGTTGATTCAGCTTACTACCCTTCCCGTCTTCCTGTAACTCTTCCTGATTGGACGAATCCAAAGATAGGTGTTCAGTTTGATTCTGACTAGACGTGGACAAGTTCATCTTATTTATCTACTCATTGGACGACGCGTACCACAATCAGGCATAGTGTAGTGTATCTTCAAGATTCGTCTTATACGTTGCAGAGGAAACCAGAGGGACGAACGTGGAGCGCGTATGCTGTTAGTGACCACACTATTCCATCAATTGTGATCTGTGTGCTGACATTACTCAAGTGCTTCGACTACAATCACTCAGACGGAGGTACTTCCGTCCCCACTCTTCATCTTTCTTTGATCTTATCCTCAGCTCTCTTATCCAATCCAAGTTCCCTGCTACAGTCATATTGTGTGGTTTCCACTTTCATCACTGGATGTCCATATATGTGCAACCATTTGCCCTGTCTATGTCCATGCCTCCGCGTCTTTGACTACATCCCCGAGTCGTGAGGCACTTGCGTCCATGCAGGGAGATATAAAGGTCCCCAAGCGTTATCTGGTGCCACGATTATCAGCGATGTCGATGACAATGGAGACATTCTAGATATTAATAAAACAGAGGCGGAGGAAAGGTGGGAGAACGCAGAGGCTGCCACATGGGACGGTGTTTGTCAACAGATCAAATTGATCTGCGATAAAGGGTACGTGGCGCGCAAGACAGCGCGTCCCTGTTGGTGAGCCGGGATCGTTTTAGGTGATTAGTAGGCAGCTAGTTCTCGATACAATGCCATCAAATGATGTATTTCTTCCTTCATAACCTCAGAGATAAGTGGATTTGCTAGATGCTCTTCTGTGGAACGAAGTTGAGTATCGATGTCATTCTCAAAGTGTCCAGATTCAACGCGTGTTGTTCCGAGTGATCCAGCAAGATACGACGGAATCCTACCAGTCGGTAAGTATCGATTGACAAGTTACAAAGCTCCAGTACAGGTACTTTACACACATACACACATATATCTACATGTGTCCGCGAGTACTGACATTAGATCAAACAATGGCCGGAATCGATTGAATCCATCCATCACATCTCCAGTGGCTACCGGCAGCAAGTGATCAGTATGAGCACATCCTTATTTTCATTGAACAAACACACACCATACGGGTACGCACCTTCCTATTATCGATCCTTTGAGGTTTGATGAGGTTTGATCCTCCAGCTCACTTGAAAACAATAGATCCCGCTTGGAAATTCCTCTCAGGTATATTCGCAATCGTCTTCGTGATCGTCCTCGTTGTCCTCACTGAGCGCACGGAGGACGACTGAGTTAAGGAAGATGTGTGGGTGGTACATACATGACTTGGCGGAGATTCAAGCAGAGAATTTGACCACTGAAAACCGCGATTGCGTCACTGAAGTTGCAGATTGTCTGTACTGAGAGGTTACTTTGAGAATGTAACCATAGGTGCGGAACGAGGACCAAATAAATGGCTATGAGAGAAGACCACGCGAGCATTACTTAGCTGGGTATTGTGGTGAGTTAAAAACAAAGTGACTCTAGACTTACAACAGATCCGAAGTCGGCGTGGCTCGCTCGCGATTGCGGGTCTTTGGGGATCTACTCCGACAGGTTTAGTCTGTGATAACCCTTGATTCGCACCGACTGTATTCCTCCATGGAGTACTTGACCAGAAACGTGCCAGCTGGCAGCCTCAATCTGTCATCGGCACATCCGGCAGGGTATTGTTGATCTCGAGTGACTTGTGAATGGAGGACGTGATAGTAGATTGGTTGCGCGCGTTAGTGGTAAAGGGGTTTCTTTGGTCATCCCCTTTCCAGGTTATCGTCCTTTGCAATGTTGATGAATAGGCGGTGTCTGTACGACCTCATGTGTCTACTGTGTTGACGGTGAGGGCTTTGTATCTGGTAAGCAACGGGGCTAGCTCAGGTGGGTAAACTGACATCGAAGGTTGTGAATCGCTCGCCCAAAAAGACATCCCGCTATTGCGAAGCTCAAACCGCATCAGCGGGAGTTTCATTGTCTCCGTACCCATCTCGAGCATAACATCGAGTTCCTCATCCACATTGTGACTTTTGAGGCTGATAATGGATGTCACCAGCGTTACTTACTACCAAGCAGGCTATACAGTCAGTTTGTTATATCAATGGCCTGTAATCCGAGTATAGCCTTGATATATCCTGTGCTGTCACTACAGTGTCATTTGAGTGCCAAAACACCATACATATTTTCATCCCCCTCGTTGCTTGTTGCCGCCGCCGTGCCCGTTGCTCCCCGACCCCCGCTCCTTCCCCGCTGAACCCTGGATCGCATCAATTCTTATTCATCCCAAGATCTCATTCCCAAATCTTGCCCGATTGATTTGATTCGATCAATTGGTTAATTCCATCGTATCTATCTCAATAGCCTTGCTATAATTAGGTGTATCTTTGAGATGTATTTGATCTATTATCTTAGGATATCCCGGCAATAAAATAGCGGTTTGTCTAAACATATTTTATCTGACATTCCAATCCAAATATCCATCTTGACATCCTTGCTACGATGAGGTGTCTGTCCTAGATGCTATTATCAGTTTGGCATAGATATTCTGGCAATAAAATAGCAGTTCTTGAAACATATGCATCAGTAAAACGGAGGGGTTGTCTTGATAAGCTTTGTCTCCAGAAGTAGGTCTTTGTGCGTCTTTGAATATCTTTGTCTTTTGTTGTTGATCTTGGTCTTCCGCAATGTGTCTTTGATATAATGACTGTTTTTCGGAGTCAAGGAAAACACTTGTTGTGGTATTGGCACTATAACGTATATTGTATTAGAAGGCTTTTTCATGACTATGATGATCAATATATTTATTCACAAAGAACTGTTGAAATGCATCAAGACTATTAGTGGGCATCAATCTCTTCGGGACTCGCTCTGCACCTCCATGGCCAATCAAGTGAACAGCATGTAAAATGCTGTCTATATGAATGATAGACATGATGCGTTCTCCTTAATTATCACAGTCCAGCTCTACAATCCACATTCCTGTCTCTGAAAATGGTTCAGCTGAAATGGCATGGAACCAGGTAACGAGTGCACAAGGATACTTTCTTTTTTCATGTGTGATGTCAGAAAATAGGTGGACTTTTGCAGCGTGAAGTCCAGAAAATCCTTCCAACTGTTCATCATGCATGACAAAAACACAGTCATAACATGGCGGACCTCCACGCCATGAAGGTACAGCACATATCCTCTCCTGAAACATTCCACCTATGCCTGAGATATTACTTGGTGCATAGAAAGTAGCAACAGCCAAGGGATAAACTCGTATCTTGGCCAATTGGAGCTGGACATTCCTCAAGGGGGACATCTATTAGTGGAATGTTGAGTTCTGGGTGTGCTTGCTCATAGAGAAAGTGCAAGATGAGGTCAGGGAAGGAGGGAATGTGGTATAGCTCAGCCAGACCTTCAGCATCAAAAGGTATTGATGTTACTTATAGATATTATTAATTGAGTTTACTTTTACATTGATTATGATGGACAGATGACATACTTGGTCTTTGTGCAAGGATGTCTTGATTATGAACAGCTCCTCCATCATCATCATCCTCTTCTTTGAATAGTTCTGGTCACATGGTGGATGCATCTTTGATGAACAGTGAGCTTTGAAGCATCCCACAAGCAGCAAAATTAGCTTGTGATGCTGCCAGCTTGTCAAGGTGCTGATCAATTAATAACATCTGTCCCAGAGCCTTGTATTGACTTGACCATCTCCAAGGTCTCTTCACTGCCCTAATGTGTGCAGATTCAGTGATTGATGAGCATAGCCCATTTGGTGCACTGAACTCCTGGATGAGATAGCAATAGTGTGAAATGGAGTGTTGAAATGGGAGAGAAGCCCTCAGGATGAACACCAAGCTCTTTGAAGATGATTCATGTCTGATGAAATTTCTCTACCACATTATCAACTCTGTTGAGATCATCCTCATCATGGACTGAATGCTGGACAATGTAGCAGAACTCAAGGAAATATTTGAGGGCCTCTACCATTGGAGATGGTGCATGGCCTGAGATGGTGGGCAATTAAACCTTCATACAGCAGTAAAAGACAAATCATCATGACTGTAGGTGAACAATGAAGTAGTTCACATACCTTCATCAATGCCTTTGAATCATCACCAGTCCATTGCTTGAACCCTTGGCCTTCAGGAAATTTTTGAAGTCCAGGAAAAGGAGGGACTACTGCAATGCGGTGATCAATGTCAGCCATAATCTTTGCTGCCTCAGATGGGGTGTGAACTAGCTTGATGTAATTGGTGACCCATGTTACAAGATGATCCTTGAATGTGCCTTAGATGATTTGATGTAGAAAGTCCAGTGCAAGTAGCTCATAAATGTCTGCATGGGGAAATGTGTGTGTAAAAGGCTATACAGGCAATCAGTGAGATTTTGAAGTGTTAGAAAAGAGACAAGCATACTAGTATATCTGAAACAATGCTGTAATCATCCCAAAGTGCCTTCCTCCTCAATGACTCAAAGAGTGCTGCAGTAAGTGTGTGTGTATGATGGCCACCAGGGCCATCAGGGTCACCAAGATGTGCAGTACATCTGTACTCAAGATGCAAAGTTAATGACAAGTGACAACAGCCATCAGAATAGCTCACTGAGCACACCATCCCTGGACAATACAAGCTAACAATGCCTGCTCAGGTTAGTCTGCTATATATGGTCCCAGCCCATGGATTACTTGGCAAAAGTACCCATCAGCAAACTGGACAATGTCTGGCATTGTCATATATGGCTGCAGTGATTCCAAGATTACATGGAGAGATTCATAGAACAAACTTCAGCAAAATTTCCAGAACTCATCAGAATCCTTGGGCTCAACATCTGCTAGTATAGTA